GTTTATGTCAGAACCGGTGCCATCATGGCACCGGATACCGGTACCCATCCCTAGTGGACTGACAAGTAAAACGCAAAACTTTTTGGAAGGTTTGCATCCTGTTTCATTCATGCATAAAACTGACACAAATTTTTATAAAGAGAAAATCATACCAACAGTCAAACATGGTGGTGGTAGTGTGACGAGGCTGCTTTGCTTCTTCAGGAACTGGACAACTGTCTGTCATTGATGAAAACATGAATTCTGATCTCTGCTAGACAAGGAGAAGGACAGTGAAACACACACATTCACGTTTGAATGACTCAAAAGAACAAGATGGAGTTCAGGACATAAAATTCAGGACATAAAATCTGATTGTGATGCTTTGGCATGACTTTTAACAGGCTGACCTCTATCCAAAATCCTTCAGGTTTGCTGAATTAACAAAATGCTGCAAAGAAGAGTTGGCCAAAATTCTTCCACAGTGATGTGAAAGACTAATTTTAGTTTTTGCTTCTCAGTTCGGTTTGGGGGCAATTACTTTTTTCATATAGGGCAAGGTAGGTTTGCGTAGCTTTTTTCCCCTTAATAAATGAAATCTTCTTTTAAAAACTGCTTTTTTGTATTTACATGGGTTATCTTCTTTGGACATTAAAATTTTTTTCATGATCTTAAACATGTAAGCGTGCTAAAACAGTTTTTTACACTATATAGCAGGTTGCACTGCATCAAGTGAAATCTGATGCGTCACACACACGTAGTAGAAGGTTCACTGCAAGTCCAGAGAACCGATATTGTTACGTTTCAAAGTACGGAGATCTTAAAGAACATTTAACAGTTTCTCTGTCAGTACGTATTGGGATGTTTATATCATATTCATAAAGGTTTATACTCACAATGACTACATTTAAAACTGTTAGAAAACAGTGACTGTCTAAGAAAACTGAACCTTTGTTGTTTTTGTGTGTAGTGTTGAACAAAATGCACATCTACAAGGACCAGTGCTTGCTCTGACCCATGTTGTTTCTGCTCCCGTTAAATATTAATGGGCTGAACTTGCCCTTGACATCTCGAGCAGCAGAAATAGCCTAACAGGCTGACACACTGACCGACAGCTCTAAATTCTCCATGCTCAGTTACAACACTAAAAACAGCAAAGTGACTTGCTGCGCTTGGAATTTCAAAGTGGGTCTGTAAATATATGGGCTATTTGGTTACCCTGTTCATTGCTGTTGCTGATGCATTTCATTTGCTGGCTTCTCTTGGTCATTCTTCTATTGAGCATGTGTTGGTTGTGTTTGTGACTTGAGACAGCCGTGTCTGCCCTCTCATGTCTAATTGAATTTGCCCAGGGCTTTCCTGGCAATATGCAGTCTTTGTTATAGTTTTACAAGATGTGGGAATAAAATTAAGTGGGAGGCTTGATGTGCATACAGGAACCTAGAAGCTACTTATTGCAATAACTATTCCAGAAGTCTCCTTGCATCTCACTGGTGGGAGGCTGTAAACCAAAGTTCCGGAAAAAGTCATCTCATTGAAGAGTGTTTTATTCCCCGTGCAAACATTTCACCGAGGGGACTTATAGGCTTTAATGAAATTGAGTCCACACACTACAGAGGAAGATGATGGCTTTTTTTTTACTAAAGACTTGAGACAAAGAAAGACTTCCAATTAAAATTCAATAACCTAAGATCCCCCGGATGTGTTGGCACAGTGTTTCATGCACGTGGAAACTGATCCCAGACATAAATCCTCATGACTAACTAAATCTGACATTTTTGCAAGGATACATCTCAGTCATTGTTGCAACTTACACCACCATCACCTAAAGCCTACTTAGCATCCATACTGGTTACACTAATATTATTAATATGTTTGAAATTGCAGCTTCCAATGTTTGCACTGCTACTGAGAGCATGCTGCTGTGTTGTCAACTTAAACATGTTATAAAGACAAACTTCATGCACTAAAACACATGGTCAAGCTTGACCCTTTTGGACACAAAATATCTCAAAGCGGCAACATAAAGTTTTACCTCTTCAAATGTGATAATTATCTTCAGGAAGTTCAGTGTAGCATTTCCACCCTTAAAAGCAGGTGTAAAGCCCCCAAACACATGTTTCCTACACTTGATAATTGGTTACATTGAGGGGTACTGCAGGTCATTAAACACTCTTTCCAATGCAGGGTCTCACCCACTGAGGCTATTAAAAAGACGGGCTCTTTTTGGTTCTAGTGCTACCAGGAAACCTATAGTATGACCTACTCACCACATTAAAGTCCTTTTCATTAGTGGCTTTAGGACAAGATCAACCACGGGTACACACTTGTCCTCTGATCAGAAGGCAGGGCTCAAGCCTTTCAAGTAGAGGTAGGAAAGGTAGTAAGACACTTATTTTATTAACCTTTATTTAACCAGGAAAATCCCATTGAGATTAAAAACCT